AAGAATAAGGAGAGAACTCAAAAAGATTCTAGAATCTAATGAAAATAAAAACACAACCTACCAGACCTATGGGAAACAGCAAAAGCAGTGCTAAGAGAAAAGTTTATACTTATATGTGTCTACATTAAAAAAAAATCAGATCTCAAAAAGTAACCTAATGATCTACCTTAAGTTTTTAGAAAAATAAGAACAAGCTAAACCCAAAACTAGCAGACAGAGAGAAATAAAAGTTAGGGTCAAGATCAAAGAAATTGAGACCAAGAAAATACACAACAAATCAACAAAACAAAAAGTTTCTCAAAAAGATGAATAAGATTGATAAACCCTTAGCCACTCTGGCTAGACAGAAGGGGGGAAAAGCCAAATTAATTAACAATGAAAAAGGGGATATCACAACAAATACCAATGGAATCCAGAGGATCATCAGGGAAAACTTTGAAAACCTATACTCATTTAACTGGAAAATCTGAAAGAAATGAATAAATTTCTAGACATACCTGACCAACCAAAATTGAGTCAAGAGGATATAAACCACATCAGTAGATCTATAACAAGCATTGAGATTGAAGTAGTAATAGAGTCCCCCAACAAAGAAAAGCACAGAACTTGATGAATTCCCTCTTAAATTCTACCTTATTTTTAAAGAACTAATACCTATACTTCTCACACTTTCCTGGGACGTAGGAAGTGAAGGAATACTACCAAATAAATTCTACGAAGCCAGTATTACATTAATTCTGAAATTTAACAAAAAAAAAAGAGAATTAAAGAATGAGCTCTTTAATGAACATATACCAAAAAAAAAAAAAGAGAATTAAAGAATGAGCTCTTTAATGAACATATACCAATAAGATAGTGGCAAAGTGAACTCAACAACACATCTAAAAGATCACACACCATGATCAAGTCAGCTTCATTCCAGGAATGCATAGATTGTTTAACATATGCAAATTGATAAATGTAATACAGCATATAAACAGGAACAAGGACAGAAACCCATGATCATCTCAATAGATGTAGAAAAAGCCTTTAACATTCAACATCCTTTCATGATAAAAGTGCTGAAGAAAGTAAGAGTAAGAGGAATGTAACTTAACATAATAAAGGGCATATATAACAAACCTATAAACAACATTATATTAAATGGGGGAAAAACTGAAACCATTTCTGCTAAAGTCAGGAATGAGAAAAGGGTGTCCACTTTCTTCACTTTTATTCAATTTAGTTTTTGACTTCTTAGCTAGAGAAGCAAGAAAGGAGGAAGAAATAAAAGGGATCCAAACAGGGAAGAAAGAAGAAAATTATCCCTATTTACAGATGATGTGATCTAATACCTAAAAGACCCCCAAAACTCCACCCAAAACTCTCACAAATCATGAACACTTTCAGCTACATAGCAGGATACAAAATCAATATATAAAAATCACCAGCTGTTCCATATTCCAACAAGAATAGACTCAGAAAGAAATCAGGAAAACAATCCCACTTACAATAGACCTAAAAAAATACCTAGGAATAAATTTAACAAAGGAAGTGAAAGACCTCTTCAGTGAAAACTATAAGTCACTGAAGAAAGAAACTGAAGCAGACATGAGAAGATGGAAAGATCTCCCATGCTAATTAATAATAAAAGACAGGACTGTAAAATAAGTACAGTGTGGGGAGGTACTTGTGAGTGGAGGGTGAATGAAGGAGATTAAGGTAAAGGAATGTGGTTGATGGACTTCATATACTTATAAGAAATAGAACAATGAAACTTCTTGCAATTACTTTAAGTAGGATGAAGAAGAGGTCAAGGGGGAGAGATGGTGGGCACAATCTAACCAATGTACAATATAAGTCTATTCAGAATTGTCACAATAATCCCCCCATACAACAAATATATCCTAAAAAAATCTTCCATGCTCCTGGATTGGCAGAATCAATGTTGTACAAATGACTACACTACCAAAGGCAACCTATCTGTTCAGTGGTATCTCCATCAAAATTCCAATGATATTCTTAACAGAGATAGAAAAAACAATCCTAAAGGTCATACAGAAGCACAAAGACCTTAACTAGCCAAAGCAGTTCTGAGCAAAAACAGCCATGTTGCAGGTGACTTCAAAGCATACTACATAATCATAGCAATTAAAACAGCATAGTATTGGCACAAAAACAGACACAAAGAGCTGCCTGTTCTGTCTGGAACAGAATAGAAGATCCAGACATAAAGACATAAATCCACACAGCTACAGCCATCTGATTTTTGACAAAGGAGCCCCAAATATACATTGGAGAAAAGACAGACTCATCAACAAATGGTACTACTGGGAAAACTGGGTATCTATATGTAAAATGCTGAAACTAAATCCCTGTCTTTTATCCTACACTAATATCAATTCAAAATGGATCAAAGACCTTAATGTAAGACCTGAAAAACTGAAACTAATACAGGAAAGAATAAAAACTCTGGATTATAGTCATAGGCAAAGACTTCCCGAGTGGAACCCCAATTACTCAGCAATTAAGAAAAAGCATTGACAAGTATGACTACATCAAGCTATAAAGCTTCAGCACAACAAAGGAAACAGTCACTAGACTTAAGAGATAGCCTACAAAATGGGAGAAAATCTTTGCCAGCTATTCACCTGATAAAGGATTAATAACCAGAATTTACAGAGAGCTAAAAAAACTAAACTCTCCCAACACGAACAACCTATTGAAGAAATGCGCACATGAACTGAATGGACAGTTTTCAAAGGAATTAGTACAAGTGACCAATAAATATATGAAGAAGTGCTAAACATTCCTGGTCATAAAGGAAATGCAAATCAAAACTATGTTAAGATTTCATCTCACCTCAATCAGAATGGCTATCATCAAGAATACAACCAACAACTAATGTTGGAGAGGATGTGGTAAAACAGGAACCTTATACACTGTTGGTGTGTATGTAAATTAGTGTGACCACTATGGAAAGCAGTATGGAGGTTCCTCAAAAAACTAAAAATAGGACTACTAAATGATCCACTGATACTACTCCTGGGCATATACACAAAGGAATATGTCAGGATACAATAGAGGTACTTGAACACTCATAGCTTTCAATAGTAGTAGAACTATTCACAACAGCCAAGGTATGGAAACAGTGTAGAAGTTATACAACAGACCAATGGATTAAGAAAATGAAGGTATATGTACACAATGGAGTTTTAATCTGCTATAAGGAAGAAGGAAATTATGCTGTTTGCAGGTAAATGGATGGAACTGGAGCTCATCACGTTAAGTTAGGTAAGCCAGATTCAGAAAGACAAAGGTCATATGTGTTCTTTCATATGTGGAAGATAGATCCAAACGATAAATGTATACACAAACACAAACATGACAATATGTACATATATACATGTTTGCGATAGTGGGACTGCTTGAGGGAACTGGAGAAGGAAGGAGAGGAAAAGAGAATGATAGAGAATGAACAATATTGAAATACAGTGCATCTGTATAGGAAGATGGCATAAGGAAATACATTAAAAGCTGCTCAATAACAGGAGGTAGAGTTGAAAGGGTAAGAGAAAGTAATAAAAGGGGTTAATCTGATTAAAGTACAGTATATTTACAGGTGAAATACCATCATGAAACTCCACTGAACAATGAATATGTACTTAAACAGGAAGGACAGTATTGTAAAACAAATCTTGTTAGGGGTGGGTACTAGTAGGAGGGTAAATGGAGAGAAAGGAGGGTAAATACAGTTGATGTACTTTATATACGTACATGAAATAGAAGAATGAAACCTGTCAAAATCCTTTTAATTAGGGGGAAAAGGATGGGGGATAGTGATGGTGGGGATGAACCTAAGAAAGGTACATTGTAAGCATATATGGAAATGTCAGAAATGTCACAATGAATCCCCCCTGTACAATTAACATATGCTAATAAAAATGTTTTGAAAAACAAAAAAATAAACAGGTCTACACAGAGCTTTCTTAAATATTTTGTTCTCTTTCTGACTTTCATTTTAATAGAGATCAATTAAATGAAATAAAGTTGTATGAAAGAAAAATTAAATATGTAAATCATAATATTATGACAGTTTTTCATTAGCTGAATTTTATAATGGTTTTTCCTATTGGTAGATTTTCTCTATTAATACGTGCTTACAGTTCCTTTTAAATTTTACTTCACAAGGAAAATTTAGGGAAGATAACTGAGGATTAATGCTAGCTGTACATTCTGTTTCTAAAATTTTATCTCTAAATTTTCCAAATGTTTTTTCATAAGAAATGAGGAAACTAGCTGTCTAAAGTTCTTTAAGTAGTAGATAGAAGTATTTTTCTTATGTGGCTTAGAGGAATTTCTTGCTTAGGCTTAAATTCTCAAACTACTTAATATTAGGAACATTTGTTTTGACACTGTAGAGGCAGAAAGTAATAATTTCTGCCCTATGATGAAAAGTATAAAAAAATCAATTAAGATAAACATTACTCTTGGATTTTTGAACTTTAGGTTTTACTTGATTTTGATGCTAAACTTTGTTTGCTTAGATATATTGAGTGAACATGGTTTATTAATAAATAACTAAAAAACAAAAAATATTATGCCATACATTAGTAATCATGAGAGAAAATTTTTTTTCTTTGCTAATACAGTAAACTTATAGTAGATAATAAATGTGGTTTTCTTTTTGATTCCTAGAAGGCTGAAGAAATTTCATAAACACAATGCTTCAACTGGAAAATACCAACCTAGTGGTCAAGTTTTCATCTTGCCAAACTTCCCATTCTAACAAAGCTATGCTTTCTTTAGAATCTTTCTGGGAAACAAAGAAATACATAAATAAGTAAAGGACAAAAAAGTTGGCCCTTTTCATGGATGATCAAAAAAAGATCAAGATACTCTTTAGTGGACTGTAAGTTATTTGACAACAACTTAAGAGAGTAGAGTGATTTTATTATAACAGTTTCCCAAAATCATGATTTATATGAAGAATTATTTTAAAATCTGGTCATAACTCTTACTTGAGACATGGGATACTGTCCTTTATTACTCCTTCACTAGCCACAGTGTTGGTACTCCCGGAAAGACTCCTTGAAGAAGGAAGTTGGGATGAGAGATCTGGAAACGGAGGACTTGTTTCTGGTTCAGGGGTAATAATATCTTCAACATCGTATTGAAGTCGTACCTCTAATGACTTAAAAAAATCAAATTTTAATGTAATCTAAAAGTATAAATAATCACAATTTACCTGATAGCTTTAGTAATTGTTCACATTTTTTTCAGATTAATAAATTCAATTTAAAGGTATAATACCATTGAGAATTATTTCAAACTGAAGTAATGAAATATATGCAATATTCAATGACAATTACAAAAATGTAACTTTTAATTTTGATACAGAATGGCTTTTGTCATTTTTAAAGCAAACCACTTTTTAGCATGTTGTATTAGGTAACAGTAACTTTAAAAATTCCTTGTAATATTTTACTAGCCACATACTACATTCTTGATTTTTAAAACCAAATAATAGCTCAAGTCTATGGTAATAGCTTTCTTTTTGTAACTGTAAAAGTCAAATTTTAAGTAACTTACCACTATTTGTGCTGTAATTTCATGTCTGCTGAATTTATAAACTATGACATAGGCAGAGACTCCTGATACACAAAATATTCTGCTCTCTGGACACCAGTAAATCATGTGAATGGCAAATGGATCTTCCTCTACAATTTCACATGTTTGTTTGCCTTCTCCTACCTTCTGTTTTTCAAACACTTTTGAAGTTTTTAGCTTGTACAGCATCTGCAGAGTTACTAGAAAATATTGAAACATAGTTACCTTCTTATTTGAATTTAATTCTTAGACATTGTTAAAACTTTTTCAATATAATTGTTAGACCACAAAAGTAAAAGACAAGTAGGAAAAATTACATTCAACTAGTAATCACTCAATGTCAATATTATCTAGAGGGTGATCATGGAGAAAAAACAAACATTAACTGAACATATACTATATGCCAAGGAATATGTATTTGCTTATTAATGTGATCCTGAGAAAAGACCTATGATGTGGGTATTTTTATCTCTGCTTTAGTCTGGAACTCAGAAAATTTATAATAGAAATTCAGAACATAATGAGGCAATCCCTCAATCTTTTCTTTTTCACAATTTTCCTCTTGGATTACTAGATAAGAGGACGATACTATGCCCAGAGGATTTACATCTTTCAAAAAAATTTAATGTGGTGGTGCAAGCCTGTAATCTTAGCATTTGGGAGGCACAGGCAGGAGGATTTAGAGTTCCAGGCCGGCCTGTGTTACATATAGAGACCCTGTACTAAAAAAACCTTTTTAAAAATAACACTTAGATGAGAAACATTGGAATTTACCAGCCAGTAATATTGGCAGTCCAAAAATCTGTAGTTATTTTAGGAATGATAACATCTGACTGGTTTTCTGTCAAGAAAGAGTCAGTTATGACTTGTGTGTGTGTGTGTGTGTGTGTGTGTGTGTGTGTGTGTGTATGTTTATTGGTGTAAGATACATCAGGAAGAGAGAGAGAAAGAATAATGAATAAGAGGGAAAATAGGGCGGGGGATAGGGTAGAGAGGGGGTTGTACAATGAAGTATTTGGATAATCTGGCTGGAAGCTATAAAATATTTCATACTACTAGGAGTTTGTTTTGTTTTGTTTTCAATTATTCCATAACCCTAAAATTACTCCAAACTGCAAAAGTTTTTAAATGGGCAAAGCATTGTATTAGATGCGTACCTTGGCTTCTGGAATGAGATGGAATATCATTCCCATGACTATTTTGCTAACAACGGAAAATGGATATTGTAGACCAAATTAAGGTCCCTAACTATTTTGACTTTGACTTAGTCAACAGAAAGATTATCACCTAACCAGGTGAGCCAATAGTTTGCATGACTGATGAGAGAGCTTACTTTGCAGGATAAGAATATCATTAAGAGTTAACTTTGTTATTCTGGTTTTCCATTTATTATGGTTTTCTTCAGAAGCTGTTTACTTTATAGCTCTGAATATTGCTTTTATAACTACTTCTTTAGTTTCCAATACTGATTATTCTCTATCTACTGGACGTTTTTACTTGGATTCTCTTATGTTACTACAAATTCCAACCTCAAAAGCTATCATATTATTTCCAAAACAATTAACTATATTTTCCTGGTTACACATTCTCAGAAACTTAAGAGTCATTGCTTACTTGTTCTTCTCTTCCTATTTCTGACTGTAAAAATCTTAACTGTCTTTCAAAACTAAAAATATACCTCCTGGCCAGGCATGGTGGTACACATCTGGAATTCCAGCACTTAGGAGTTGAGGAAGGAGGATCTTGAGTTTGAGGCCAGCTTAGAATACACAATAATCCTGTCTCAAAAATTAATTCATTCATTAACTAATGACTGAATGAATTAATTATTCTTCCTGGCTCTACCTGGTTTAAGTACATCTCTGCCATTTTTGATAATAAATAGGATTTTGGTTATACTATATTTAGAATTCTTATCATATTTGCCTTGTAGTTTTACAAGTACATTCCTTTTTTTTTCTAGTGACTAAGTATGCTGAAGGACATGTACATTGCATATGTATCATTGTATCTGTGCATGCCTTTCAACATTGAGTAGAATAATTTATTCCTTAAATAAATGTTACCTATTTCTCCAGAATTTTAAAAGAATTTTTTTTGTGGAATTGGGGTTTGGAACTCAGGACTTTGCACTTGCCAGGCAGACACTCTACAACTTAAGCCATACCTTCCACCCTTTTAACTCTGATTATTTTGGAGATTATTTTGCTTTTTTGCCCAGACCAGCCTGGACCATGATGCTCCTATTTTTTAAGCTTTCCACTGTCACTGGGATAACAGGTATGTGTCACTATGTACAACTTTTTGCTCAGGCTGGCCTAGAACTATGATCTTTCTGATTTCAGCCTCCCACATAGCTTGGGCTAACAGATGCATGCCACTGCATCCAGCTATTGGTTGAAAAGGTGTCTTGTGAACTTTTTGCCCGAGTTGGCCTCAAACCATTATCCTACTGATCCTTCCAAGTAGTTAGGATTACAGATATGACCAAGCACCTGGATTAAAATTTTTTTTAACGTTATTAAATAATTCTTTTGATCTGCACCAGGACTGAGGAGATAGTGGGGTAGGAAAGTCAAGGCTAAACAGATAAAAATAAAAGCATGTGTCAAAGACACAGCTGGACAAAGGTAATTCCTCCAACAGTTAATCTGATAAAGTTCACTACCATGCCTTTTGTAGATAGGACTGCTGATAGAGTGATTTAGTTGTTTTTTCTCTGTATTATAGAAGAAAAGTGTAGTAGAGATACTTGAAACTGATCTAACAACATAGGAAATGGATTTTTGTAACACAGCCTAAATGTATGCAAAACTATTTTTGAAATATTAATTTCCCAAACTAAAAAGTTGTAGATGGCCATGAGTAAATATCAACAAAGTATATCCTGTTTCACAGGGATAAATTAAAAACTTACTTGCAGAAGCATCCCAAAATTTTATTGATCCATCTGCATGACTAGATAAAAAATAAATGAATATTAAGTTATACCAAATAAAAATCACAATCACTCTAAATGCATAAAAATGAGTTACTATTTTTAAGATTTTGATTCAGAAATACCATTATCATAAAAATAATGATAAATCACTTATAAGCTAAAATTTAAAAAAATACACTAGACTCTAAAGATTAGAAAAGACTAATTTTTTAGATTTTATGTGTAATAAAGAGCAGTAAAAAATGGCCTGTGAAAAATGAGCAATGTCTTAAAAATTAAATTGTTTACATTCAATGAAAGAGATACTGAGATAATTTTGATATTATAAAAAATATAAAAGCAAATTCCTAAATCTTCCTACAGTTGTGTCAGATTTGTTAATAAATAATCTATGTCAATTCTATAAAAACTCATGCACAAAATAGAAGAGTAAGAATACTTCTCAACATATTAGATGAAGTCAACATTATCTTGACACCAAAATGAGAAAAAAAAATCCCAAGTAAAGAAAACTCAACACTAAAATCTTTCATAAAAACTGTTGACAAAATATTAGGTAATAAAATCTAGCAATATGCAAAAAGAGTAATTCATCATAATTAAAGGTGGTTTATCTTAGTAATGCAAGGTCAGTTAAATATTTTTTCAGTTAAACATTTTCACAAAAAATCAATCACCATATTCTAATTTACCACACTGTAAATTAAAGAAGAAAAGCTATGTGGTTATCCCAACAGATGCTGATGAGGCATTTGACAAAAATTCACCATCTATTCATGAAGAAAACCTTACAAATGAACTTGGAACAGAGAAAGCTTTTTCAACCTGATGAAGGGCATCAAAGAACAGATAGCGCCTATACAAGCAATGGTAAAAGACCAAATGTCAGGAAAAGAAGAAAAAGTTTATTCTCTCCATTCTTATTCCACATCATAGTGGAGGTGTTAATCATTACATAAGGGAAGAATAAGAAATAAAAAGCAAACAGACTGAAAAGGAACAAAATAAACTTGTTCCTACTTATAGATCACATGATTAGAATGCAGAAAAATTCCAAAGATTCTACAAAAGGGATACCAGAACTCAAATGAGTTGGCATAATTGAAAGACCAAGGCCAGCACTCAACAATCAGTCATGTTTCTATGTAATAGCACAAAGCACTTAGAAACTGACATTACAAAATGCCATTTACCAATAACAACCAAACCACAAAGTATTTAGATATGAGCTAATACAACCAATGCTAGGTCTGTATGCTGAAAACTACAAAATTCTGATCAAAAGAAGGCATTAATAAAAAGAGATATAATATATTTTGATGATTATAATACCTACTAGATGTGGATTCTCAAGTTATATGTAGATTCAGTGTAATCCTAATTGAAATATATCGAAACTAATTCTAAAATCTAAAGAGAAAGGCAATGAAAATAGTATAGTCAAAGTAATTTTGAAAAACAGAAACAAAGTTAAAGGACTCAAACTTGTCTCATTTGAAAGCAGTAGCAAAGTTATTTTGCTTTTGGGTGAAAAACAGACATATATCAAAGGGAGTCTGGAATTAGACCAACACATACAGAGTCAATTGATTTTTGATTGGGCGTAGTCACCGATAAAGTAAAGTGTTTTAGTTTAACAGATTTTGTGAAATATAATTTATATATCATAAAATTCATACATGTAAGTATACAGTTGATAATTTTTATTAAATTTATGTAATAGACACACTGATACCATCATTACCTTTAGAATACTCCCATCACCCCCAAAAGTTACCTCATGCCAATATATAACCCTCTTTCCCATATTCAGAAGACCTGTATTTTTTTACTTTTTGCCAATACAGATTTTCCATATAGTATTTACTTTTGTGTCTTCATCTTTCATTTAACATAATATTGTTGAGGATCACTGTTATATATACATCAGTAATTTGTATTTTTTTATTGCTGAATAGCATTCCATTAACCAGCTGAAGGATATTCAGATTGTTTTCAATTTGGGGCTAGAACAAATACAGATACTACAAATGAATTTGTATGCTCTCATATTCTAATTATATGCTTATAAGTATTTTTAGAAAAGTTATTAATGACACATTCTGCAGGATGTTGGTCTGAGACTGTATATATTCTCACAACCTTTAGTTCAGTTTTATTTTTATCATGCAATGTTTGATTTGAACGACAATGTAACAAAGACAACATAGAGAATATAATTATATTGAAACTACCCAAAGAACTCATAACTTGCATTATGATATGTGCTCTTCTTGATTCCACCTTATTGCCTTCCTTTGTCACTAGAAGTAGCCACTATCCTGAATTTCAAAAAATTATTCTTTTGCCTTTCTTTATAACACCATTACACAAACACACACACCACAAACACACACACACACACACACACACACACACACAAAATACACTGTTAACTTTGGATGCTTATCCCAACTTTACAATAATGGTATCATGATGTATATAAATTTAAGGAAGTTTTGTTTTTCACATATCAGATTTATGAAATTCATTCATAGTATTGTTTGTAACTGTATTTAATTCATTTTTATTGCTTTGCTCAATATATAGTAGTCCACTGGTATAATTATACCATAATTTATAAAAATTCTATAATTATTAGGCAACGGAACTATGTCTTTTTACTTTATTTATGTATAAAAAATAGACTTGACAGGTCTTAGGGCATGAAAATATTTAAATTTATAAAATGACAAATTGTTTTCAGTTTATACACTCATTTACAATACAGAAGAATTTTTGAGTCCTATCTTTTGCAACATTTGTTTCCAACAACTTCTAAATTTTCTCCAAATACATGCTATATATACCACAGTATCTCATTATGTTTTTAATTTGTATTCCTTAATTATTAATTTCCCCATTTATTAATGAAGTCAAACCATAAAAGATTTCTCTTTTGTCAAAGGCCTTTTGTCCAATTCTCAGTTGGGTTGATTGCCTTTGTCTTATTGATTTGAAGTCATTTACATATACTGAATCCAGAGTTTTTGGTGTTTATACATACTATAAATATCTTTTAGTTTGTTGCTTACTTTTCCATTTTCTTTATGAATATGCTTTCAAAAAATACATTGATTTAATTTGCTTTCATATTACCCAAATCTTTGCTTTTATAAATTTTTTTCTTTCAGTTAAAAAGAAATTGCTGAGAATATGGCTCAGTGGTAGAGCACTTGCCTGGCACAAGTGAGGGACTGGGTTCAAACTAGCACCTCAAAAATGAAAGAAAACTAAAAAAGAAAGAAGGATATTGGTCCAAATACAATTTTTATTTTGGTCAATTTCTTTTTATATTTAATATTTATTTTATAAATTTTGAATGCTTATTATTTTCATGTTGTGTATGAATACACACAAATTTTATATCTTCCCTAAAAATTAAAAACTTTAAATGTGATATATGATCTACTTTATTTCTGGGGCCATTTGGCCTTAAAGCCTACATTACCTGATTTTTTACCTGGGCTCCAGTAAATACTTCTGTCAGTATTTGCAGTATTTTTTTAATCCTTATAAGAGTTTCAGAATATATGTGTATTGAATATGTATTTTTAAACAGCATAGAGTTGGATTTTATTTCAATGAACAGTTCCATTCTTTATTTTAGGAGGGTCACTTGTTTAAATGCATCATATAATTTATTGCTTTATATTAGTTTCCTTTGATTTAAATATGCTTCTTTTTCTATATATTCTCACTTCTTTTCAAACAATCTTTGGGAGTATTGGAGCTAGAAGTCAGGGCCTTGATTGTGTTAGCCAAACACTCTACCACTTGAGCCCCAACCTCAGCCCTTTTTGTTTTATTTTATTTTTTTTTTTAGTTATTTTTTCAAATATGGTCTTGTGTTTCTGCCTTGGGCTCACCTCTGACCACGATCCTCCTACCTATGTTTCCTGTATAGTGGGATTATGAATGTATACCACCAAACCTGGCTTACTTGTTGAGATGGGGGTCTCACTAACTCTTTGGCCTCAAACCATGATTCTCTAAATTTCTGCCTCCTCAGTAGCTGCAACTACTGGAAATAGCTGCTGTAAACATTCACATACAACTTTTGGTTTAAACAGTTACTTCCAAATGCAGATGGCAGCTGACTTACTGACTCAACTTAAAATTTTCTAATTTACAATGGTGCAAAGGTGACAAGCATTCAGTAGAACTTGTACTTCAGATCTCGAATTTTGATCTTCTGTGGGCTAATGATATGTGGTACAATACTCTTTCCCAATGCTGGGCAGTGGCAGCTAGCTGTTGCTCCATCCTACTCAGTCACGCAGTCAAGAGTATCAACAACAAATGCTCCATGCTGTTCTCTGCAGTCAATTAGTTTACTGAATGCATTTTAAATTTTCAATTTATGATGTTCATATTGGGATGTCACACCATAGTAAGTCAAGGAACATCTGACTTTGACATATATACCTAGGAGAGGGATTGCTATGTCACATGATAATTGGGTTTCACTTTTTGAGGAACTGCTAAATTTTTTTCCATAGCAGAAGCATTGTTTTGCATCTTTACCAGCAGTACATGCAGTTTCCAACACTTGTTATTTTCCATTTTATCATTTTGGTTTTAATTTTTTTAATGTAAAAATTTTAAACTGTATGTATTTGGAAGTACCATGTGATGTTTCAGTGCATGTATATATTGTGTAATGTTTAAATCAGAGTGGACATATCTCCTCAAATACTTATCATTTCTTTATGGAAAAAACATTCAGAATCCTTTTAGTTTTTTATAATATAAGGTACCTTATCCTCTATAGTCATGCAACAAACACATTAGAATTTTTACTCCACAATATCACTTATTATCAACTTAACAGTCTTTTCCCTCCCAACTTCTAATCCCAGCCTCTGGTAACCACCATTCTCCACTCAACTTCTGTAAGATCAGAGGTTTGCTTTTTTTTTTTTCCTGAGGTACTGGAGTTGAACTCAGGGCCTCACTTGCTGTGCAGGTACTCTAC